TAAAATTCGCTTAAAATTTATTTTCAAATTAACAGAATATATTAAATTTTGAATCTTGTTGTTTTTGCTCCTTATTATGAATGAAAAAAAGCCTAAACTGGTCATTGGTCAAAAAAAGTTCCGAGAATCACTAATCTAACCATAATGTTAATTTTCGAATTATAAAATAGCTTTTGTTGTAATTTTTTGAAAATGTTTTTTCGAATTATTGATATGTTTTTGCAGAGGTGACAACATTTTTCTTTTGATTGGTAATAAGTATAGTAGTAAGGGTTGATAATTAGTAGTAAGGATTGATAATAAGTACAGTAGTAAAAGTTGATAAAAAGTATAGTAGTAAAGGTTGATAATTAGTAGTAAGAATTGATAATAAGTATAGTAGTAAGGGTTGATAATAAGTATAGTAGTAAAGGTTGATAATTAGTAGTAAGAATTGATAATAAGTGTAGTAGTAAGGGTTGATAATAAGTATAGTAGTAAGGGTTGATAATAAGTATAGTAGTAAAGGTTGATAATAAGTATAGTAGTAAGGGTTGATAATTAGTAGTAAGAATTGATAATAAGTATAGTAGTAGTTTAAATCCTCAATTAATAGTAAGGATTTAAATTGAAAAATATTTTTTCGAATTATTAAAGTAGATGAAAGAGAGTAGTGGTGTGTGTGTGTGTGTGTGTCTGTGTGTGTGTGTGTATGTGTATAAAGAATAAATAATTGATTAATTAATAAATGGTATGGAAATTTTAATGGGGAGATAATTTGTGTATCTCATATGATAACAATATAGAAATGCGTAAACTAGTTAAAGAAGACGTCGCAAGAAGAAAACGTATTAAATGCACATATTTGTGGCAATCTTTTAATTATCAATCGATATTACATCATTGTCATCATTTGATTTGGTAAATGACGTCGAATAATGTTGGTTTAAGAAGTGGTGTCAACGACAAAAAAAAAAAAAAAAAGCATCATTCGGCTACTACTATTACTACTAGTACTAGTACTACTACTATTACTACTACTACTACAACAACACTACTACTACTACTACTACTGCTATTACTGCTACTGCTACTGCTATTACTACTGCTATTATTACAACAACAACAACAACAACTAGTACTGCTTTATTGCAGCTACAATAACACGATAAAATTGAAAGGATACGACGATTACCTTATTGCAACAATTATTTATTTATTATTTCAATAACAACAATTACAACAACAACAACAACAACTACTACTACTACTAATACAGCAACAACTACTATTACTACTACTGCTACTTCTATTACCATTGTTATTTGGCGAGGAAAAGATTGCTGTACTTTTATTTCATCTAATTTTAATTTCAACTTATCGTCTAAGCTATTTATTTGCTGTATATTTTAATATCCTTTTTATAAAATGTTAAGATGGCTTTTTTTTCTAAATAATAATGGCAAATTTGAATATTAGATGAAATCCGAATTTAAATACATATTAAATTAAATGTATATTAAATTAGTAAAAATATAGGAAAAGAAAGAATGTACGATCAAAAAATTACATGGATACTATTGAAATGTTCGAAATTTCATTCCATTCTTTTATATTCCTCAATTTGAAATTAATAATTATAATACTAGAAAAGGTGAAATAAAATTAATGAAAAAGATTTACAATATTTCAATATTATCTTTAAAATATAGATATCATAATTTGAACAATTAAATTTGTTAAAATTACGGTATATAGGTTATGAATGCATGTTATTATCAATAATTTAAGTTGAGCGAGAAGATGATATTTATGGTATAATTTGGTGACGATATATTTAGGTCTTTACTGTATTTCTAAGTGCTTGATCAATGATCATCAACCTTATCCAATAAAACTAGAAATGGTAAATTGGACAGACACATAACTTAACAAATAAAATTAAGTATAAGAGAAAGTTAATTTGTAAATGATGCATCATCATCATCATGTGTCATGCCAATTCTTGACATAAACCTTTATTGGGTTGTCATGGATGAGGAAAAATGATTGCTTTACTAATTGTTAGGAAATTATACAAGAATTTGTAGATTGTATTACTGTAAAAGAAATTTTAACAAAAAAAAAAAAAAAAAAGGGAAAGAAAAATAAATAAATTTTAGAGTTCAATGTGATCTCTAAAATTTCTCTAAAATTCCGGTTTAAATGATTGAAAAGAAATGAAAACAAAAATCACACAATTTCTTATTTTTCGAACTTTTATGAGCCGATAGTAAAATAATTTTTTTTTCATATTAATTTATCCTTTCATATTTTATTTTCTAATTTAATAATCAGCTTGTTTAATTTATTCTTTGTACATATTGTTATTTAATATTTAATTAAACAATAAATGAATTGCGACAAAATGTTTGCAAAATGTTAATTTATAAAGAGAATGGACAAATAATTAAATTAGATTTTGATGTCACTTTTTTTTTTTTTGTTTTGTTTATCTAAATTGATGTTGTCTTTTCATTTGCAGTAAAACTCATTTGTTTTTTTTTTTTTTTCTCCATTAAATATATTACATTTGACAGGTTATATTTTTCGAGAATTCTGTTTCAATATGTGTTCCTGTAATTATAATTTT